CTGTGGTCTTGGATAGTCTGGCTACGATGTGCCTTGGGGAAGATCTTCTGGGGTTGATTCTAACTGAGGTCCTTTGTATTTCTTGGGTCTTGATGCTTGAGTGCCTCTAAAGACTTGGGAAATTTTCTTCCAGGATTTCATGGGATAGACTTTCCATTCCATTATTAGTTTCTTCACCCTCTGGGATGCCAATTATTCTGATATTCGGGCATCTAATGGAATCTAGCATTTCTCGTATATTACCAAAATGTTGTTTTGTTACTTTCTCTATCTTTTTTGTGGTTCTTTCTATGTCAGAGGTTTTATCTACTACATCAGAGATTCGATCTTCAGCATGGTCTATTCAACTTTTAATACTGTCAAGGGAGTTTTTGATTTCCTCTATTCCAGACTTTATCTCTAATAGCTCCATCTGGTTCTTTCTCAGAGTGTCAATTTCTTATTTCATATCTTGGAATGACTTCCTCATCTCTTGGAGTTCATTGTCTCTTTTCTGTTCCAACTCAAAGAATTTGTTCACCATAAATGTTTGAAATTCTTTGTCTGACCTTTTGATAATATCGTCCATTAGCACGAAAGATGGAGGGGAGTTATTCTGAAATTTTGATGGAGATGTATTTCCTGGTTTATTCATACCTGAGGCTCTTCTTCTACTTCTAGCCATAAGAAGATGTATTCACTTTGATTATCTCTTGCGGGAAGGTTACTCCAATTAGGAGTAAATGACTTTCCCTTTTGCTGCAAATTAATGTTTGCTGAAGTCTCTCTTCTGTTTTTTAACCAATGTGGTATCAAGAGGGGTACTGTATTGAGGTGTCTGAAAAGAAAGGTCTCCTTTTTTTCAGATGGATCAGTACAAGGGAAGATCCCAGAGAAAGTAAGGTTGTAGGGGGATTTCAGATATCTGATTATAGACCTGTCTAGTCCTTCTGGAAAGGTGGAAGATAAAGAGGAGAGAGAATTAGGTGAAACAACACAAGGAAAAAAAGGAAAAACAGAAGACAGGGAAATTAAAAAAAAAGGTTTTGCAAGAGGCCTAGCACTGGGTCTGTCTGTGGTCTGCAGCTGGGAACAGGACAGGCTGTGAGAGAAGGAAGAGCAAGAAATTAATAAGAGAATAAAGGAGCTTAAAATGCAAAGCAGAAAGTAGTGGTGACCTACCTACCTAGCGGGTGGACACTAGAGCAGAGGTCTGCAGAAGATGTAGATGGGCAGTGAGGTCCCTGCCTCAGAATCACTGGCTGGACAAAGACCTGGTGTTGGGTCTGTCAGAGTCCAGCAGCCAGGGACAGGACAGGCTGTGAGAGGTAGAAGAGCAGGAAATTACCAACAGAATAGAGGAGCTTAAAATACAAAGCAGAAAGTAATGGTGACCTACCAACCTAGCGGGTGGACACTGGGGTGGTGGTATGCAGGAGAGGAAGGGGGCAGAGATGTCCTTACCTCAGAATCACTGGCTGGCCAGAGGCCTGGTGCTGGGTCGGTTTGTGGTCTGCAATCAGGGACAGGACAGGCTGTGAGAGGTGGAAGAGCAGGAAATTATCAAGAGAATAAAGGAGCTTAAAATCTAAACCCGAAAGTAATGGCGACCTACATACCTAGTGGGTAGGTGCTGCGGCTGGGGTCTGCAGGTGAGGTAGGGGAGCAGTGAGGTCCCTGCCTCAGAATCATTGGCCGGCCAATGGCCTGGCAATGAGTCTGTCTGTGGCATGCAGGTGGGGACAGGAGAGACAGTGAGAGGAGGAAGAGCAGAAAATTAACAAGAGAATAAAGGAGCTTAAAATCCAAAGCAGAAAGTAATGGTGACCTACCTAACAAGACGGTGGGCGCTGGGGCTGGGGTAGGCAAGAGAGGAGGGTGGGCAGTGATGTCCGTACCTCAGAATCACTGGCTGGCCAGAGGCATGCCGCTGGGCCTGTCTGTGGTCAGCAGGTAGAAACAGGACAGGCTGTGAGAGGTGGAAGAGCAGGAAATTAACAAGAGAAAAAAGGAGTTAAAATCCAAAGCAGATAGTAATGGTGACCTATCTACCAAGCGCGAGGCGCTTGGGCTGGGGTCTGCTTGAGAGGTAGGTTGGCAGTGATGTCCCTGCCTCAGAATCACTGGCTGGCCAGAGACCTGGCGCTGGGTCTGTCTGTGGCCTGCAGCCAGGGACAAGACCGGCTGTGAGAGGAGGAAGAGCAGGAAATTAATAAAAGAATAAAAAAGCTTAAAATCCAAAGCAGAAAGAAATGATTACCTGCCTATCTAGCGAAGGATCACTGGGTCTGGGATCTGCAGGAGAGGTAGGTGGGCAGTGATGTCCCAGCCTCAGAATCACTGGCTGGCCAGAGACCTGGCGCTGGGTCTGTCTGTGGCCTGCAGCCAGGGACAAGACCGGCTGTGAGAGGAGGAAGAGCAGGAAATTAATAAAAGAATAAAAAAGCTTAAAATCCAAAGCAGAAAGAAATGATTACCTGCCTATCTAGCGAAGGATCACTGGGTCTGGGATCTGCAGGAGAGGTAGGTGGGCAGTGATGTCCCAGCCTCAGAATCACTGGCTGGCCAGAAGACTGGTGCTGGGTCTGTCTGTCGCCTGCAGCTGGGGACAGGGCAGGTTGTGATAGGAAGAAGAGAAGGAAATTAACAAGAGAATAAAGGAGCTCAAAATCCAAAGCAGAAAGTAATGGTGAGCTATCTACCGAGTGGGTGGGCACTGGGGCTGGGTTCTGTAGAAGAAGTGGGGGGCAGTAAGATTCTAGCATCAGAATCACTGGCTGGCCATAGGCCTGGCAATGTGTCTCTCTGTGGCTTCCAGCTTTGGACAGGACAGGCTGTGAGAGGAGGAAGAGCAGGAAATTAACAAGAGAATAAAGAAGGTAAAAATTCAAAGCAGAAAATACTGGTGACCAACCAACCTAGTGGGTGGGAGTTGGGGATGGTGTCTGTAGGAGAGTTTTATGGGCAGTGATGTCCCTGCCTCAGAATCACTGGCTGGCCAGAGGCCTGGCGCTGGTCTGTCTGTGGCCTGCAGCCAGGGAGAGGACAGGCTTTGAGAAGGGGAAGAGCCAGAAATTAAAAAGAGATAAAAGGAGCTTAAAAGGCAAAGAAGAATGTAATGATGACCTACCTACCTAGTGGGTTGGTGCTAAGGCTGGGGTCTGTAGGAGAGGTAGGTGGGTAGTGAGGTCCCTTCCTCAGAATAACTGGCTGGCCAGAGGCCTGCTGCTGGGATGGTCTGTGGTTTGCAGCCAGGGACAGGAAAGGCTAGCAGTGGAGGCCTGGACTGGGGTATGCAGGAGAGGTAGTTGGGCAGTGATGTCTCTGCCTTAGAATCACTGGCTTGCAAGAGGCCTGCAGCTGGATCTGTCTATGTCCTGCAACCAAAGACAGGACAGGCTAGCGACTGGGCGCTGTTGCTGGGGTCTGCAGGAGAGGTAGGTGGGCAGTGATGTCCCAGCCTCACAGTCACTGGCTGGCCAGAAGCCTGCCACTTGGTCTGTCTGTAACTTGCAGCCGGGACAGGAAAGGCTAGCGGGTGGGTGCTGGAGCTGGCGTCTGCAGGAGAGGTAGGTGTTCCGTGATGTCCCTGACTCAGAATCACTGGCTGGCCAGAGGCCTGCCCCTGGGTCTGTCTGTGGCTTGTATCTGGGGACAGGACAGGCTGTAAGAAGAGGAAGAGCAGGAAAATTAACAAGAGAATAAAGGACCTTCAAATCTAGAGCAGAATGTATTGGTGTCCTACGTACCTAGCGTGTGGCGCTGGGGCTGGGTTCTGCTTGAGAGGTAGGTTGGCAGTGATGTCCCTGCCTCAGAATCACTGGCAGGCCAGAGGCCTATTGCTCAAACTATCAATGGCTTGCAATAGGGACAGGACAGGATATGAGAGGAGGAAGAGCAGGAAATTAACAAGAGAATAAAGGAGATTAAAATCCAAAGCAGAAAGTAATGGTGACCTACCTACCTAGAGGATGTGAGCTGTGGCTGTGGTCTGGAGGAGAGGTAAGTGGGGAGTGAGGTCCCTGCCTCAGAATCACTGGCAGGCCAGAGGCCTATTGCTCAAACTATCAATGGCTTGCAATAGGGACAGGACAGGATATGAGAGGAGGAAGAGCAGGAAATTAACAAGAGAATAAAGGAGCTTAAAATACAAAGAAGAAAGTAATGGTGAGCTACCTACCCAGCAGGTTGGCGAAGGGGCTGGAGTCTGCAGGAGTGGTGGGGGCCAGTGAGGTCCCTACCTCTCAATCACTGGCTGGCCAGAGGCCTGCCACTGGGGCTGTCTGTGGCCTGCAGCCGGGGACAAGACAGGTGGTGAGAGGAGTAAAGGCAGGAAATTAATAAGAGAATAAAGGAGCTTAAAATCCAAAGCAGAAAGAAATGGTGACCTACCTACCTAGCGGATGGGCACTTGGGCTAGGGTCAACAGGAGAGGTAGGTGTACAGTGATGGCCTGGCCTCAGAATCACTGGCTGGCCAGAGGCCTGCCACTGGGGCTGTCTGTGGCCTGCAGCCGGGGACAAGACAGGTGGTGAGAGGAGTAAAGGCAGGAAATTAATAAGAGAATAAAGGAGCTTAAAATCCAAAGCAGAAAGTAATGCTGTCCTACCTACCTACTGGGGTGTGCTAGGGCTAGGGTCTGCTGGAGAGGTAGGTGGGCAGTGATGTCCCTGCTTCAGAATCACTGGCTGGCCAGATACTTGGCGATCTGGTCTGTCTGTGGCCTGCAGTTGGGGACAGGCCTGGTTGTGAGAGGAGGAATAACAGAAAATTAAAAAGATAATAAAGGAGCTTAAAATTCAAAGCAAAAAGTAATGGTGACCTACCAACCTAGTGGATGGGTGCTGGGGCTAAGGTCTGCAGGAGAGGTAGGTGGGCAGTGATGTTCCTGCCTCAGTATCACTGAGTGCCCAGAGGCCTGGCGCTGGATCTGTCTGTCACCTGCAGCCAGAAACAGGACAGGCTGTGAGAGGAGGTGTAGCAGGAAATTAACAAGAGAATAAAGGAGCTTAAAATCCAAAGCAGATAGTAATGGTGACCTACCAACACAGAGGATGTAACCTGGGGCCCTGGTCTGCAGGAGAGGTAGATTAGTAGTGAGGTCCCTGCCTAAGAATCACTGGCTGGCCAGAGACCTCCTGATGGGTCTGTATGTGGCCTGCAGCTGGATACAGGACAGGCTGTGAGAGGAGGAAGAGCAGGAAATTAACAAGAGAATAAAGGAGCTTAAAATCCAAAGCAGAAAGTATTGCTGTCCTACCTAACCAACAGGTTGGCGCAGGAGTTGGAGTCTGCAGTAGTGGTAGGTGGGCAGTGAGGTCCCTGCCTCACAATCACTGGCTGGCCAGAGGCCTGCCACTGGGTCTGTCTGTGGCTTGCAGCCGGGGACAGGTCAGGTTGTGAGAGGAGAGTGATCAGGAAATTAACAAGAGAATAAAAGAAAATAAAATCCAAAGCAGAAAGAAATGGTGACCTACCTACCTAGCAGGGTACGCTAGGCTGGGGTCTGCTGGAGAGGTAGGTGGGTAGTGAGGTCCCTGCTTCAGAATCACTGACTGGCCAGAGGGCTGGTGCTGGGTCAGTCTGTGGCCTGCAGCTGGGGACAGGACTGGCTGTTAGAGAAATTTCAGAAAATTAACAAGAGAATAAAAAGAGCTTAAAATCCAAAGCAGAAAGTAATGGTGACCTACCTAACTAGCAGTTGGGCCCTGGGGCTAGGGTCTGCAGGAGAGGTAGGAGGGCAGTGATGTTCCTGCCTCAGAATCACTGGCTGGCCAGAGGCCTGGAGCTGGGTTTGTCTGTGGCCTGCAGCCAAAGACAGGATAGGCTAGTGTGTGGATGCTGTGGCTGGGGTTTGGAGGAGAGGTAGGTGTTCAGTGAGGTCCCTGCCTCACAATCACTGACTGGCCAGAGGCCTGTTGCTGGGTCTGTCTTAGGCATGCAGCCGGGGACAGGAGAGGCTATAAGTGGAGGAAGAGCAGAAAATTAACAAGAGAAAAAAGGAGCTAAAAATCCAAATCAGAAAGTAATGGTGGTCTACCTACCTAGGGGGTGGGCGCTGGGACTGGGTTCTGCAGGAGAGGAAGGTGGGCAGTGATGTCCCTGCCTCAGAATCACTGGCTGGCTAGGCCTGGTGCTGGGTCTGTCGGTGGCCTGCAGCCGAGGACAGGACAGGCTGTGAGAGGAGGAAGAGCAGGAAATTAAAAAGAGAATAAAGGAGTTTAAAATCCAAAGCAGAAAATAATGGTGACCTACCTACCAAGCGTGTGGGCGCTGGGGTAAGGGTCTGCTTGAGAGGTAGGTTGGCAGTGATGTCCCTGCCTCAGAATCACAAGCTGGCCAGAGACCTGGCGCTGGTGCTGTATGTGGACTCCAGCTGGTGACACGACATGCTGAGAGAGGAGGAAGAGAAGGAAATTAATAAAAGAAAAATAGAGCTTAAAATCCAAAGCAGAAAGAAATGATTACCTACCTACCTAGCGGGTGGGCACTGGGTCTGGGGTCGGCAGGAGAGATATGTGGGCAGTGATGTCCCAGCCTCAGAATGACTGGCTGACCAGAGGCCTGCAGCTTGGACTGTCTGTGGCCTGAAGCTGGGAATAGGACAGGCCGTGAGAGGAGGTAGAGTAGGAAATAAAGAAGAAAATAAACAAGCTTAAAATCTAAAGCTGAAAGTAATGGTGACCTACCTACCTAGGAGGTGGTCACTAGGACTGTGGTCTTCAGGAGAGGAAGGTAGGCAGTGATGTCCATGACACAAAATCACTGGCTGGCCAGAGAACTGGGGTAGGGTCAGTCTGTGGCCTGCAGCCGGGGACAGGAAAAGTTGTGATAAGAAGAAGAGCAGGAAATTAACAAGAGAATAAAGGAGCTTAAAATCCAAAGAAGAAAGTAATGGTGAGCTACCTAACTAGCGGTTGGGTGCTGGGTCTGGGTTCTGTAAAAGAAGAGGGGGGCAGTGAAATCCCAGCATCAGAATCAGTGGCTGGCCATATCCATGGCAATGTGTCTCTCTGTGGCTTGCAGCTGGGGACAGGACCAGCTGTGAGAGGAGGAAGAGCAGGAAAATAACAAAAGAGTAAAGGAATTTAAAATCCAAAGCAGAAAGTAATGGTGACTTACCCACCTAGCAGGTGGGTGCTGGGACTGGGGTCTGCAGGATAGGTAGGTGGACAGTAAGGTCCCTGCCTCAAAATCACTGTCTGGCCTGAGGCCTGCCACTGGGTCTGTCTGTGGCCTGCAGCCTGGGACAGGTCATGCTATGAGAGGAGGAAGAGCAGGAAATTAACAAGAGAATAAAGGAGCTTAAAATCTAAAGCAGAAAGTAATGGTGACTTACCCACCTAGCAGGTGGGTGCTGGGACTGGGGTCTGCAGGATAGGTAGGTGGACAGTAAGGTCCCTGCCTCAAAATCACTGTCTGGCCTGAGGCCTGCCACTGGGTCTGTCTGTGGCCTGCAGCCTGGGACAGGTCATGCTATGAGAGGAGGAAGAGCAGGAAATTAACAAGAGAATAAAGGACCTTCAAATTCAGAGCAGAAAGTAATGGTGACTTACCTACCAAGCGGGTGAGCGCTGGGGCTGGGGTCGGCAAATATATAGGTGGGCAGTGATGTCCCTGCCTCAGAATCAATGGCTGGCCAGAGGCCTGATGCTGGGTCTGTCTGTGGCCTGCAGCTGGGGACAGGACAGGCTGTGAGAGGAGGAAGAGAAGAAAATTAACAAGATAATGAAAGAGCCTAAAATCCAAACCAGAAATAAATGGTGACCTACCTACCTAGCGGGTGGGCTCTGGGGATGGCATCTGAAGGAGAGGAATGTGGGCAGTGAAGTCCCAGCTGCAGAATCACTGGCTGGCCAGAGATCCATCTCAGGGACTGTCTGTTGCTTGCAGGTGGTGACAGTACAGGCTGTGAAAGGAGGAAGAGCAGGAAATTAAGAAGAGAATAAAGAATCTTAAAATTCAAAGCAGAAAGTAATGGTGATCTACCCTCCTAGTGGGTGGGCGCTAGGGTTGGGGTCTGCAAGAGAGGTAGGTGGGCAGTGAGTTCCCTGCCTCAGAATAACTCGCTGGACAGAGGCCCGCCGCTGGGTCTCTCTCTGGCCTGCATCAGGGGACAAGAAAGGTTGTGAGAGGAAGAAAAGCAGGAAATTAACAAGAGAATAAAGGAGATTAAAATTCAAAGCAGAAAATATTGTGAACTACCTACGTAACAGGTGGGCGCTGGGGCTGGTTTCTGAAGGAGAAGAAGGTGGGCAGTGAGGTCATTGCCTCAGAATCACTGGCTGGCCAGAGGCATGGAGCTGTGTCTGTCTGTGGCCTGCAGCTGGGGACAGGACAGGCTGCGAGAAGAGAAAGATCAGGAAATTAAGGAGAGAATTAAGGAGTTTAAAATACAAAGCAGAAAGTAATGGTGAACTACCTACCTAGCATGTCGCGCTGGGGCTGGTGTCTGCTTGAGTGGTAGGTTGGCAGTGAGGTCCCTTCTTCAGAATCACTGGCTGGCCAGAGACCTGGTGCTGGGTCTGTCTGTGGCCTGCAGCCAGGGACAGGACAGGCGGTGAGAGGAGGAAGAGCAGGAAATTAACAAGAGAATAAAAGAGCTTAAAATCTAAAGCAGAAAGCAATGGTGACCTACTTACCTAGTGGGTGGGCACTGGGACTGGGGTCTGCAGGAGAGGTAGGTAGGCCTTGAGGTCCTAGCCTCAGAATCACTGCCTGACCAGAGGCCTGGTGCTGGGTTTGTCTGTGGCCTTCAGCCAGGGACAGGACATGTTGTGACAGGAGGAAGAGCAGGAAATTAACAAGAGATTAAAGGAGCTTAAAATCCAAAGCTGAATATAATAGTGACCTAACTACCTAGCGGGTGGGCCTTAGGGCTATGGTCTGCACAAGAGGAAGGTGGGCAGTAAGGTCCCTTCCTGAGAATCACTGGCTGGCCAGAGGACTGGCGCTGGGTCAGTCTATGGCCTGCAGCCGGGGATAAGACAGGCTGTGAGAGGTGGAAGAGCAGGAAATTATCAAGAGAAAAAAGGAGTTTAAAATCCAAAGCAGAAAGAAATGGTGAGATTCATAAATAGGGGGTGGGCACTGGGGCTGGAGTCTGTAGGAGAGGTAGGTGGGCAATGTCCATGCCTCAGAATCACTGGCTGGCCATTGGCCTGGCACTGGGTCTGTCTGTGGCCTGCAGCTGAGGACAGGACATGCTGTGAGAGGAGGAAGAGCAGGAAATTAAAAAGAAAATAAAGGAGCTTAAAATCCAAAGGTGAAAGTAATGGTGACCTACCTACCTAGCAGGTGGGCGATAGGGCTGTGGTCTGCAGGAGAGGAAGGTGGGCAGTGAAGTCTCTTCCTCAGAATCACTGGCTGGCCAGAGGCCTGTTGCTGAGTCCTGTGGCCTGCAGATGGGGACAGGACTCGCTGTGAGATGAGGAAGAGCAGGAAATTAACAAGAGAATAAAGGAGCTTAAAATACAAAGCAGAAAGAAATGGTGACATACATACATAGGAAGTGGGGGCCGGGGCTGGAGTCTGCAGGAGAGGTAGGTGGGCTGCAATGTCCCTGCCTAAGAATCACTGGCTGGCCTGAGGCCTGGCGCTGGGCCTGTCAGTGGCATGCAGTCAGGACAAGACAGGCTGTGAGAGGTGGAAGAGAAGGAAATTAACAAGAGAATAAAGAGCTTAAAATCCAAAGCAGAAAATAATGGTGAGCTAACACCCTAGTGGGTGGGCACAGGGGTGGGGTCAGCAGGAGAGGTAGGTGGGCAGTGAGGTCCTTGCCTCAAAATCAGTGGCTGGCCAGAGGCTTTGAAATATGTCTGTTTGTGTGGCCTGCAGATGGGGATAGGAGTGGCTTTGAGAGGAGGAAGAGCAAGAAATTAGCAAGAGAATAAAGGAGCTTAAAATCCAAAGCAGAAAGAAATAGTGAGATTCCTAAATAGGGGGTGGGTGCTGGGGCTGGAGTCTGTAGGAGAGGTAGGTGGGCAATGATGTCCCTGCCTCAGAATCACTAGCTGGCCATTGGCCTGGTGCTGGGTCTGTCTGTGGCCTGCAGCCGAGGACAGGACAGGCTGTGAGAGGAGGAAGAGCAGGAAATTAAAAAGAGAATAAAGGAGATTAAAAACCAAAGCAGAAAGAAATGGTGTCCTAACTACCTAGGGGGTGGGCGCTGGGGCTGGGTTCTGGAGGAGAGGTTGGTGGGTAGTGTTGTCCCTGCCTCAGAATCACTGGCTGGCCAGAGACGTGGGACTGGGTCAGTCTTTGGCCTGCAGCCGGGGACAGAACAGGCTGGGAGTGGAGGAAGAGCAGGAAATTAACAGGTGTGAAAAGGAGCTTAAAATCCAAAGCAGAAAGTAATGATGATATAAGAATAAATTTAAACTGGCTTTTTTTCTGTTCTGTAAAAAATTTAACCTTTTGTCCTTTCACTTCTGTACTATGGCCGGGTAAACGCCCTTGTCATAAACTACCCGAGACAGACTTAATTATGCAAACCTCCAGGAACTGAACAAGTGGAATGTAGACCTAAAAAAACTAGAAAGACAACCCATGCACCTGTATCACAAGAGCTGCTGCTCTTCCCCTTATGAACAAAGTTACCTGTTAACCTTCCGCATACCTTCTCCTGCTTATAAAAATATCTATAACCAACACTAGAAACGGGTTCCTTGCACAGGCCTGCGGAATCAGGTGTTTGCTTGGACCCCAGTCGGCTGGAAAAATAAAACCTCTTGCACTTTGCATCAAGAACTGACTCTTGTGGTTGATTGGGCGTCATGTATCCTCTGGACAGAAAACGCGCTGAGCCAGGCGGCCGGCAGCCTTTCATTTTGGGGGGTTCGTCCCGGATATCACGGCTACCCATCATCTACAACGTCGGCCTTGGAGGTAAGCCTAAAAACCCCCTGTTTGTTTGCTGACTTTCTTGTCTGTTTTGGTGTGGTACCTAACCTAATAATCTGTTTCAGGTTGCACAGTCATTCAGCCTATTGTAAAATAGCCGAACTGTGGTTGGCAGACGTGCCCAGAGAACCACATACTGCAGCCCTGGGGGACGCTCTAGGGGCGGAGGAGGATCAGGGACGCCTGATCGTCCCTTACGGTAAGGGCGCAGATCGGGTACATATTTTGGCCCAGAGTTCCCGTGGCCTGCGCCCGTCTGAATCTGTCCTAAGATTGCGGAAAACAAAAATTGGTAAGTTACTTTCTGTTTGTCTTGTCCTGTTCTTTGTTCTGTTGTCTGTACTCTTAACCTATCCGTTGACGATGGGACAGAGTGTGGTGACTCCTTTAAATTTGACTCTCAAACACTGGACTGAAGTAAAGGGAAGAGGTCGCAACCTGTCTGTAGAAATTAAAATGGGACTCTGGCAGATGTTTTGTGCCTCTGAGTGGCCCACCTTTGGTGTTGGGTGGCCACCCAAAGGCACGTTTGACCTTAACGCTATCCTTTCCGTTAAAGACATTGTATTTCAGAAGGGACCAGGAAGTCATCCGGACCAGCAACCGTACATCATCGTTTGGCAAGATCTGATCCAAAACCCACCTTCGTGGGTTCGACCATGGTTGCCCAGGCCCCGTCCAAACCCCCCTCAGGTCCTGGTGGCCCAGTCCCCCAACCCTCCAGAGGGTACAGACCTCTCCAAATGTCCCAAGTGAATCTATCCAGAGACCCAAGACCTTCTTCTCCTAGACACCCCTCCCCCATATCCCCCATCCCTTCCGCTAGGTGAAGAAAGGCACAGAGACCCCAGAATGCCACCTAACATTGGACCTGGTCCTTCCGCCCCCTCTGAGGGTGCCCTCCTAGGGCCTGCTCAGGGCACTAGGAGTCAACGTTGCGCACTCCCGTCTCCTGATACCACTGTGGTACTGCCCTTACGGGCCTATGGGCCCCCACCTCCGCCTACCGACGAGGGGCTGCCTCCCCTACAGCCTCTCCCATAT